TCAGTGGCTAAGACGCTGAGCTTGGCCATCAGAAAGGTCGGCAGTTCGGCGGTTCGAATCCCTAGCGCCACGTAACGGTGGGAACTCCCGTGACTTGTCCCAGCTTCTGGCAACCTAGCAGTTCGAAAGAATGTAAAAATGCAAGTGGAGAAATAGGGACCCCATTTGGTGGGAAGGTAACAGCATTCTGTGCACCTTCGGCGTTGAGTCATGCCGGCCACATGACCACGGAGACGTCTTCGGACAGCGCTGGCTCTTCGGGTTTGAAACGGAGATGAGCACCGCCCCCTAGAGTCAGGAATGGCTAGCACATATGTGCGAGGGGAACCTTTACCTTTAAGGGTAACAAGTTAAAGTGTTTTTTTTTTCTTTATGGTTTGGAAATTTTGAAAAAAAGTTTTGGGATGCCTCTAATGCAGAAACAGCATTGTGTTTCCTACAAGAGCCTTTCCATCAAGGTCAACAGGAAATAATTGGAACTTCTCTCCCATCGTTTCCAGCCAGGTCAATGAACCCGCAGAAGGTTGCTTTAGGTAGATCTTCCCATGTGAGCATCTAGTATAATCCTGTTTACATACCTGCCAGCCGGTTTTGGATTTTCGGAGATCAGCCTACGGTCACAATCGAATAGATGACTTTTATTAAAATCTCGTGTAGCTTCAAAGACATTTATCTTCAAGGAAGATAACATTTATCTTCAAGGAAATGCAAAATTTGAAATCTACAAAGTTTCCAGCCTCCCTTCTCTCTCCCCCCCTCCAGAAAGAGGAAATTGAACAGCTGGCAAAGTGTGAATGATAGAAAAATGTCGCTAAAATAAAATTCTGTACAGATCAAAGCCTAACATTGTAATCATGACAAAACGGCAGGAAGTCCATCTGCTATTTCATAACCCCCTACCTACCCGGGAAATTATTTTCAAACTAGGGAAGTAGTGGGTATTACAATATAATCCATGAAAAATTATATGTATGCCTATATATGATAGAGAGAATGAGTAATAGGAAAATAGCTTGCGAGCCCTCCCTCCCGCCTACCCTTCCATTTCCCCCTTTTCTTACATGGCATTTCTCTCTTTCTGATCTTCGTCAGCTGCAAGCCACAGTTTTTGGTTTTGGTATCCTTTGCCAAATTGAAGAGTAGCCAGGGTTAAGCCCCGGTCTGTCCGTGTCAGCCCTATCCAAGGGCAAAATGTAAGCTGTATTGACATAAAGGTAGTCCTTGACTTACGGCCACAACTAAGTATATATAAGAATATGGTATGGTGGTTTGACAGCTGCGGAGAGGAAGGCACTACAGAGAGTGATCAATTCGGCACAAGAAACCATTGGTTGCCCTCTGACACCACTGGATGACATCACCAGGTCTCGCTCCTTTAGCAGAGTAAGGGAGATACTCAGAGAGGATTCACACCCTGGTCAGTGTCTCTCTTTGCACTTCTACCATCAGGCAGAAGACATCAAAGTACAGCCAGCCGAACAAACAGGTTTAAAGATAGTTTCAATCCTTGGGCTGTCAGACTTTTAAATACAACCACAATCACTCCATGCACATGCTAGTTTTTTTTTCTTTTTCTTTCTTTTTTCGTTTCTGTTATAATTTTGTCACCAGTGAGGTTAAAACCAATTTCGTTATATTTAAATACAGTGACAATAAAGATTATACACACACACACACACACACACACACACACACACGGAGGGAGGGAGGGAGAGAGAGAGAGAGAGAGAGAGGGAGGGAATACAATACCAACAGCGGAGAATAATTTCATTTTTCAGTTCAGTGTTGCAGACAGACTAGTTTCAGTTTCAGTTCTCAGCACAGCACTCAGAGCTGCAGGGCTAAACCACGCCCAGGCTCCAAGCTGTTTTAGCTCCCCTTGGCTGACCTTCCTACTAAGCCTTATTCATTGGCTGACCTTGTTACCATGTCTCTGCCAGTTCATGAATATTTTGACATGTTTCACCCCTCTGTCATTTAGTCTTGAAAATAAAGGCTCTTTACCTTTGATCGCGGCTCTCTGAAATGGTGATGGGCCTTTTTATGAGAACTGACTCAACTAGGAAGGGACGAGTCTTGCTAATAAAGTGTCCTTGGATTACTTTTAGGGGTCTTCCGAGGTAACCCTGAGCAAGTCAAAGAATACCAGAACCTTCTGGATCCTTTATTACAACAATCAGCTGAAGGTATGGAGATCTCTGGATCAGAAGTCCTCAAAGCATGTTTCCAATCAATGTAGCAAATGCAAGTCCAATGCTAGGAAAAAGACTCAAGTACTTACTGGTAGAACTCTGGTATTGAGGTATCGGGTTTAAAGCACTGTATTGAAGAATGCAGATGAATTTTTTTCTGTATCATTCCTGAGCTCCGTTTTCATTATGGCTTTTCATTTCACTAATAGCAGTTGTAAATATTTCTGATCTGTAGCACCAGCATCACAGTGGTACCGCTAAAAAAAAAAGCACAGTCTTTTCCATCTGTCAAACATTACCTTATTTTTTTCCTCCTCCTCCTCCTCGAACCAGTTTATAGGCATCACATCTGTTCACGCAAGGTGTAAATCGAGATGGCAGTTTGTATCTTTAGTGAGCTGCAGCACAGAATGATGATTAGCACCGCTAGTGTTGCTTCATTCACTGTGCTTCGTTTTCATACATGTGTTTGTTTATTTATTTTTCACCTTGTTCCCCCTCCCTCCAAACTGCCCTTTGTCACTCCATTTATTCCTCTTTAACTAGTCTGTTTAAACATTTGTAGGTTATCCGGTTGTACCTAAATATTACCACGTGCCAGCTGATTTTGTTGAACTGGAAAAGAAAAATCCGGGCAGCCAGAAAAGGTTTCCTAGCAACCACGGACGGGACGGAAAGTTTTTCCTGTTGGGACAGTCCCTCTATATTATTGCCAAACTTCTCGGTAAGTAAGCATAATTACCAAAGAATCAGAACGTCCTCCTATTTGGTGTATTTGCACCTGGTGACTTCATGAGTTTTAGAAGCTGTGTGGGGAAGTTCCTGGACCACTGAGGAATCTTTTAGCAATACCCCTTAGACTTACATACCTGTTGTGGCCCAGCAGGTGCCGTTGGAGCTGCCACCAGACTCCAACAGCGAGGGGCCCTCTGAGTCGGCTCTGGAGGATGTGGAGGCCCCTGGACGGGGTTCCGACTCCGAGAAGGGCGCAGAGAGGTTGTTTGGCCCCCAGGAGGCACCTGAGCCTTGGACCAGTGGAGACAAG